CCTAGCATCTGTGGTGTGTACTTGTCAGCTCTTCTAGTACACATTCAGTTTGCATATGTACCATACATCAGAACATTGCTTTGATGTTGAATGCAGTCAAAGTAGACAAATCCTACCATGAACTCATCGATATGATTGTTTGTAATTGGGATAAGAAAGATTGTATGCTTCATCGGTATGACAGATGTCCAGGTATTTGAAATCTGTGAACTTATATTGAAGAAAACTTTCCGATAATGATAACGATGGAGCTGGAAGCGGGGAAAGAGATGATTTTGACGAGGCAGAGATAAGGTTTCAATAATGGACAACAAGTGACAGGTTGCAATTAATTCCTGTCTCGTTGTCAGTAAACAAAGTTATCGACCAGTTAATTGACAAGTTAGATGACATAAGGGCACACTCTTTTATTGCTAAAGCACAAACAAGGTTTTTTTAAGAAATGCAAAAGAGTTGCATGGTGATGATGCATTGGTATTGAGCAACTTTGCCAAAAATTACAAATTTGTGATACAAGACGAGGTGCAAAGTTATCATTGGAATCAACAATCATGCACTTTGCATCCTATCATCTTGTATCACAGAATAGGGGGTGAATTGAAGAAAGTTTCTCTCTGTTTTGTTTCAGACGACTTGACTCATGACATAGGCTTTATAAGCCAAACAATCAACTACATCAAGAAGGAGATAAAAGGTAAGGTTAAGACAATGCACTATTTTAGTGATGGTTGAGTGGGACAATATAAAAACTGAAAAAATTTCATTGATGTATGCCTTCATCAGTGATTTTGGAGTAAATTATATTTGGAAATTTTTTGCAAAATTGCATGGTATATCACCTTATGATGGTCTTGGAAAAACAATTAAATGCTTAACTGCAAGGGCTAGTCTTCAAAGATCCTTATCAAACCAAAACTTCTCAGCAAAGGAAGTTTTTGAGTTTTGCAGAGATGAAATTACAGGGGTAATAACATAATAACATTCTTTATTTCAAGAGATGACTGAGGTGCGGGAAAGTCTGAAAGAAAGATTTGAGCAAAGTAACACATTGCCTGGATCTCAAAGTTTCCACCAATTTATACCACTATCAAATAGCGTCATTGGTGCGAAGCATGTCTCTTCTGATGAAGAGTTTACACTTGCACTTGACCGAATTTTAGGGTAAAGTATTTACCAAATTCCTTCTTAAAGAGATACAAGAATCCGACTTTGTTCTTTGCAATTATGATGAGAAGTACTGGGTTGAACTTGTTGATGAAGTTGACACTGAAATAGGGATATTCTTATAAAATTCATGCATCTGAATTATCCAGCCAAATCCTATTTGTGGCCAAGGAGAAAGGATACTTGCTTTGTACTGGAAACACATATCCTTTGCACAATAAATACACCTGTAACAGCAACTGGTTGTCAATACCATTTGCAGGAGATTGATATAAAAAAAATTGACAAGTTTCTGAAAAAACAGGAGATCATTGATCAGATTTAAAGGTGCTCAGACATTTCAGTCCAATAACTTGTTGGTTAGACTATTAAAACTGACTTTAGAACTTCATCAATCTTCGGTAACTCCTGTATATAATATTCAGTTTTATTATAGAATTAACCTCAATATAGTTTTAAGCACTCTTTGAAATTGAACAGTAGTTATCAATATATCATATGAAATAGAATTTAGGCATATCCACTTTATAATTTAGTTAATTTTCAGAGGACTATTACTTTGTAACAAGGAAAAACCATCTTAGGTTTTTAATATAGTAAACTAGATGGTTTGAAGAATATTTGTTCCAAATTTGTTGTTGATAAGTTTTTTCAAACATTGTATTCCAATAATTTCAAAAAACAGGACATGAACCATTTCATAACTCTTAAAATTCTATAGTAGGGGGTTTAAAGGGTAACTGGGGGATTGTTTTAGGATAGAAGTAAAAGCTGTTTCCATATTTGGATTCCCTATACTTGAATTAGGG